GATCCACAAGGCAGTTTGGGAGCGCCTGACATCACCCATTCAAAGTAAATAGGAAGCGTCAACAAACGTTGACGTACGTTTTTACAGATCTCAAATTTCTCGCGCTAGTGCCATTCCAACACAATCTCATGGCAATTCGTAACTTTTTGATTTAGTGGCTAATTCGTATGAATTCGTACGATCTAATTTGTACAATTTAGTACGATTTGCTCATCCCCCAATGACGGTTGGGGTTAGGGGTGGGGTTAGGTGCCACGCCTCCTTTTTAGAATCGTACAATTTTGTATGACTGAACTCGTACGAATTCATACGAAATAGCCACTAAACTGGCAAAACGTAAAACACTTAAGTTTTCTCATGAGATTAGGCTTGCCATTCGTGCCTGATCTTCTCTTGTAAATCCAACAGAGGCTGCTGTTTGACTGACTGAATGACTGACCGATCGACTGACCCACCCTTCCTTAAACCCAACCAATAGTATTGTAAAAACCACAGATTGACGAGCGCCCACCCATGTCCCTAAACCCAACTGACAAATTTTAAAAGCTATTCAGAAAAAAAAGCCCTTATCTGACTTTTACTACATTTTACCACATTTTCACCCTGTTATTTACATATTTCTTTTATTTTTCGGCTTCTGTTTTTGTCTTAGCCGCTGCGCTCAAACCCTGATGTCGTGGTCATCTCCTCTCTGCCTCTCAAGTCCACCGAAGTAAATGTTGAGCTAACTGGAGCAAACTGATAACAGCCGGAAAGCAGTCTATACGGAGGTAAGTGGTCAGGTGGGAAGCACGAAAAGGAACAGTGGCATACCGCCCTGTAGCGTTCATTTAAAAAAAAATTAAACACAGCCGTATGTACTTCTAGCTAAATTGCGATCTCCAGAAATGTATATAGGGGTATATTTTCAGAATCAGCCTATGTTGGATACTTGGGTAAGTAATATGTGGACATGGTTGTTTTTTTACTTACTTTCAACCAACATCTTTGTTGATGAACGCATACAACATATTCCTTAGGTATTGTGGCTTGTCATCATTTATAGTCTGCATGTTTTACATTCATGATAATTTGATAACACAAAGAGCGAGAATTAAACAATTTATCAAATCCTGTTTGAAAAAATAAAAGATTAGTTTAATAAAAGAGAAGACCTGGATTAAGGTTGCTCTTCACTGACACATTGGCCAACACACATATTCACTTTTGTTTGTTCATGGGCAAGTAACCCTACAGCAACTGATCAGGGGTGCGTTTCCAAAAACCATCGTTAGTCAACTAAGATCACAAGTTGCGTCGTTACAAACATAGTTTGTTGATTTTGCGTTTCCCAAAGCTGTCGATTCAACAAATATTCGCAAACTGCCTCACAAACTTCCATGCTTGCAACTACACCTCTGGAGCTGTAGTTAGAAACAGTTCCTGGCTGTGTTCTATTCCTACTTATACCCTCTATGCCCTATTCCTTTAGAACATTCTAACATTTAAACTTGGAATGATTTAAAAAAAAAAAAAACATTAAAGCCATTACATGTAATTTGCTTTCAAAGCATTTTTAAAGTTCAGTGTAAGCGATCTTCATGTTTACAATTGCGCTTCCTTCACAGTGCACTTTAAAAATATTGATGTCATTTTGAACACAGCCGTTTCTCATGATGAAAGCTATAGGTGACCTATTATTTAAAAGCGGGCTTAATGTTACGTCTCTAAAGCTTGTGAAGAAAAAAAAAAACCTTAACATAGGCTATGTTAATCTCTTAAATTTAAAGTAGGTTATTTACTAAGTACTGTACATGACATGGGTTGCTGGTTAGAACATTTCTGCAGTGGTTTGCATGTGTCAAATTGTAAAAGTAGACTTAAATAATAATAATAATAATAATAATAATAATAATAATAATAAAAATAAAAAACTATATCCTACTTAATATTAATAGCAATAATAATAACCATCATCATCTTTATCAATAATATTATTTATAATATTATTAAAGTATTATTTTTTTTATTTCCTAATAAATGATAAGCCGAGGAGGTGGCGCAGTAGGGAGTGCTGTTGCCTCACAGCAAGAAGGTCGCTGGTTCGAACCTCGGCTCAGGTGTTTCTGTGTGGAGTTTGCACGTTCTCCCTGCCTTCGCGTGGGTTTTTCCGGGTGCTCCGGTTTCCCCCACGGTCCAAAGACATGCGGTACAGGTGAATAGGGTAGGCTAAATTGTCAGTAGTGTATGAGTGTGTGTAGATGTTTCCCAGAGATGGGTTGCAGCTGGAAGGGCATCCGCTGCGTAAAAACTTGCTGGATAAGTTGGCGGTTCATTCCACTGTGGTGACCCCGGATTAATAAAGGGACTAAGCCGACAAGAAAATGAATAATAAATGATAAATATTAAATTGAATTTCTTAATAAATAGCCTCATTATTTATTTATATGATTTATATATGATATTAGAATACATGTTCGCTTTTGTAAGTGATTTTATGTTTTAGAATAGAATATGTAATGTTCTCAATAATATTTGTAAAGCAATAGGCCCAGTATATGCCATATATTTTAATTAATATGGAAAGCGAGTGCACGTTTTTACCAAAACTAATATTGGATTTTTTAAATGGGTGTTTGTGTAAAACAATATAATGTGCACAAAGAAACGATGGGGTTCCTCTATTAAAAATTTGTTACCACATCGTTTAGAGCATCACTATGGGCATTTTACGTCATAACTAACATGGTTCAAACGATGGATCTGCGACAGAGAAACTACGATTTTGGGAAACACTCGTCACTACATCGTTCATTTCCCAAACGATGGATCATACTCTGATAGTTCAGCCGCGAGTTACGTCGTTGTTTGGGAAACGCACCCCAGTATGGATTTAATAAACTAAACTAACATTTGTAAGGACTTGCAGGACTTGAGGAGTAATGTACAGGAATTTTGTAACTGCCGGCATCTGTTAAAGCTTGCTTTTGAACATGCTGAATCAACCATTTTTCAGGGCTTTGAATAGTTAGGAAGTGATGTGTATTAATGCGCTGATTGTTGCCATCTGTTTACATTGGCCATGTATCTGTTTTTAATGACTGAACATGTTCAGGCCTGATCTTAATTATATTTGATATGCCTACCGCTTTGCCCACACCTTGCCTTTGGCCATTGATACAGAGTGTGAAGAAGGTGGATGTGATTTTGTAGAAGCAATTTTGAATTTGAAGTAGGATGCAAAACTATTGTAGATTACCCTCAATGTTGATCCTGAAACATCATTCCAGTTCGAACAGGTAATCCATACCCATAAACTTGACCTTAACTGTAAATTAGGGTTGTCACGATACTGGAATTCGATACCAATCGGTACTGAAGTTTTAAAAACGTCCAATTCCCATGAACATTTAAGCGCTGTGGAGCACGCTCTTAAACAGCACTGATTTGCCATTGTGTTCAAGTGCTCTACAGAAATGGCTGTGATTGGATGTGAAGGTCTTCAGTTCACCGAACTCACCACTGTTTACTGCGTGTAGCTGCAGATACAGAGGTACTAGAGCGTTTCAAAGTCACGCCGATCAGCTGGTTTGTCTGCGGATGAATCGCGGCTTTAAAATGCTCCAGTGTCACTGTAACTGTGGTTACACTCAGTAAACGGCAAACAAAATCCATCGTCCCCACGACGTTGGGGTAGGTTGGGGTACAACATCAATATGACGTCAAAAGAAAAGTTGTCCCAATGAAATCTCAAGAATCGTTTTGTTTTTGTTTTAATTAAGTAGTTTGAACAAGTTAAAAATGTATACAGAAATGACTGTGGTTGGCTGTGAAGGTCTTCAGTTCACCGAACTCACACTGTGACTGTGGTTAGACTCAGTAAACAGCAAACAAAATCCGTCGTACCCACGACGTTGGGGTAGGTTGGGGTACAACATCAATATGACGTCGAAAGAAAAGTTGTCCCAATGAAATCTCAAGAATCGTTTTGTTTTTGTTTTAATTAAGTAGTTTGAACAAGTTAAAAATGTATACAGAAATGACTGTGGTTGGCTGTGAAGGTCTTCAGTTCACCGAACTCACACTGTGACTGTGGTTAGACTCAGTAAACAACAAACAAAATCCACGACGTTGGGGTAGGTTGGGGAACAGCATCAATATGACATCATGTTGATGTCTTGTTTCTGCAGGGAACTTGTAAAACAATTATTTTAGGTTAGAAATCCTGCATGGCAGGCAGAAATTCTACCCCTGAAAGTATTAGGGATTGTCTATTTCAGAGGTTCTCAAAGTGGGGGTTGGGACCCCCCGAGGGGTCGCGGGACAATGAAGGGGGGTCGCCTGGTGATTTTCAAAAATCAATTAATTTTTATTAAACCTAAACTTACTGTATTTTATCAATAACCTACTGATGAGAAAAAAATAGTTGTTTATAGTTACTATAAACTATATAGTGACTATAGTAGCTTATAGTTACTAGTTCTATTGGATTGCGACTTTTCGGGTAATTACATTATACTAAAGACACAGCAATACTGTCAGATGCAGCAGATTTTGTAACACCAGGTTAAACTTTCTAGCACATTTACAGCACTGACATACATAAAAAAAAAACAAAGAATAGACTTGGGCCTATTGGTGTGTGTGCGTCATTGCATACAAGGTTTTTGTATTTATAACCACAACCTAAGAAAATATTGGGGGTCACGAGTCACTGGCATTCTCATTTTGGGGGTCGCGGGCTGAAAAGTTTGGGAACCCCTGGTCTATTTGATGAATTAGTATTAGGGCAGCATGGTGGCGCAGTGGGTAGCACAATCGCCTCACCGCAGGAATTTCGCTGGTTTGAGCCCCGGCTAGGTCAGTTAGCGTTTCTGAGTGGAGTTTGCATGTTCTCCCTGTGTTTGCGTGTGTTTTCTCTGCTTCGGTTTCCCCCACAAGTCCAAAGACATGTGGTACAGGTGAATTGGGTAAGCTAAATTGTCTGTAGTGTATGTGTGTGAATGAGTGTGTATGGATGTTTCCCAGTGATGGGTTGCAGCTGGAAAGGCATCCACTACATAAAACACATGCAGGATAAGTTGGCAGTTCTGCTGTGGTGACCCCAGATTAATGAAGGGATTAAATTAATTAGTATTATTAGGCCAACACATGCTCATTGTGAATACATACCTCGCTCTACATTTCTGAGAAACCACAAATATGTACCTGGGTGCTACGCCTGGCTGCATTTTGTGTGGGAAGTGAACGATATGGGGCAATATGACGCCACAGACCAGTTCAGTTCCTTTTCACTGTATCGCTTCCTGCTTACCTTCATATGGGCGACTTATCCAGTGTTACCAGTTTACCCAGTAGCTTACCAGGTACACCGATGGACTTGAGTATGGTGAAGAACGTTTATGCATAGTTTAGCTCCAACTTCCTTCAACACACCTGCCTGGAAGTTTTTAGTATTTCTAAGAGCTTGATTAGCTGCTTCAGGTGTGTTTAATTGAGGTTGGAACTAAAATATGCAGAACACCGGCCCTACATGATCGAGTTTGGACTCTCCTGGATTTGGCTATTCATTAAAAACTTATCTCTTAACCTGCCAAAAGTTCTCTTATCCTGTATTGTGATGTTTTAATAGTAGTTTAGTTGACTTATTGATCTTATAGAGACAAACAAGAGGCCTTGAAGTAGAGGAGTCCATGAGAAACAGTGTTGTGTGGCGCTCTTGCTTAAACGACTGGAATCAGCATCAACGTGCACTTTGAACTCTTGATCTGCAAGGTATCGACCCTGTTTTAATGACCACAATGAGCACTTATATCTGTCGTGATCGTCCTGACGGTCTATAACACTTGTGATGTTGAAGGTTCCATCTGGGTTATTCAGGATTGACAGTGTAGCAATGGAGGTCAAATTCCTGTCATGTTGAAACCAGTGTATAGCGCCCTCCGGGTACACACCTGTAAAGCGACACTGCAGTTGCTGAGGTCCAGGCATCTCGTAGGAGAAGTCTCCAGTGCAATGCTCTGTGTAAATACATGTAATACAACTTATTAATATTCTTTGAGATCTAATTATTTATGCATTTAAAAAAACAACCATGCAATTAAATGTCTGAAAACATTGAATTAGCTCAAGCTCTCTTTTTAAAAACAGGTCGACAGTTCACCCAACAATATTAATTTAACCTTCAGGCCATTGAAGATGCAGGGCACTTGTTTTCATCAGTAGAACATTAACGAAGATTAAAGATGTAACTTGTCATAAATCTGTCATCAACATGACAGTCATGAGGCCATTATAATTGTGTCATCACTATTTTATATGAAGTTGTTGTAACGAGTCATCTTTGCATTGTAAATGTCATAATTAGGCCCACATGTAATCTGCGCGCGCAGAATTCCGCAGATTTTCCACAGATTTTCCGCAGAATTCCGCAGATTTTTAGCCCATTATTAATTCTGTTTATTTACTTGAGTAAATGTGTAAATCTGAATTTATTCAGTAATTTATTACTTTTTATTTAATATACTACGTTTTTAGTTATGATACTCTGCTGGATACTCCCAAAATAATTCCGCAGAAATCCGCAGATTTTTACTAAAATTCTCTGCAGAAATAGCAAAAAACGTTCGGAGATTCCGTCTGGCCCTGGTCATAACTCAGCAAATGACACTTAACAGTTTTCATAAGCATGCGTAGGCTCTCATGAACAACGCATTCAAGTAGTGTACTTTAAAATACAACACTTAGCCGTTAAACGCATGAATGAACTGACCTACAGACACGTTGATTCCCTTATATCCGTGTGAGGAGTCTGCCATTACACAACAATAATATTGCCCCATTTGCGCTGGTGTAGAATGCAGGATGGTTAATGTTAGTGCTTCCCTCGTGTAGCTGCACTCATATCCTGGAGGGCTCTTGCTGGATTTTGGGTCGCATTTAAACTCGTTTTCTCCATGTTTCATCCAGTATATTTGATCAATGTTCAGAGGCACGGATGAGCTGATGTTGCACTGTAAGACCGTCCTCTCGTTGCAGTTTGCTTTCTGGGTTGTAAAAGCACGAAGCTCCATCTCACCTGCATGTGTAATACAACAAGGTTACTATGCATTATGACAACTTGACATGTGATATAATTTTAAATAACCATTTCCGGTAACAGTTTACTTGAAGGTGTGTTCATATGACTATCAGGACTATCCGCTTGTTAAGTGGTGATGTGTTTGTGACGTATGTATACTGTTTCCGGGTCCAAGCAGCCATTCACTTGAGTGGCGAAATCATTCGTTCATGATCACTTTTTATTCCTAGCACACATTAAAGTTAATTTTACATAAAGTCATAGTGTACACAACAATCTCTGGGCTTGCTGCATAACAAACACCAAATTTTTAACAATTTATAAAACAATGAATCACTTTCTGGCCATCGGATATTAGGCATGGACATATATATATTGCGATCGTGGCTTTCGAAAGTATTAAATCGCTTTGTAAACGTTTATTATTATTACCATTTCATGAATCTCCCCATTCAGTTGAATAGAGCTGCTTGGACTCGGAAGCCGCTCCGCGAGACGTCACACTTAACAAGCGGATTAGAACAATGATATGACAAACATAATGAATGTGAATGAGAGTTTATGCATGCTTATGACAACTGTCATTCAGGGCCCTATTATACACCCGGCGCAATGCGGCACAAGGTGTGATGCAAATGTTGTTTGCTGGTTTCAGCTTGACGCAAGTGTTGTTTTGACGTGTTGCACCATGCTGTTTAAATAGCAAATGCAATTGCGCTCCTAGGCGTTCTGGTCTGAAAAAGGAGGCCTGTTAAGGCGCATTGCTGGCATGTTGCTATTTTGAGGATCTAAAATAGACAACCCAGGCTCATTCTGGAAACGTAGCCCCGCGGATGTTTCTGTAGGCCGCGAAATACATACCGGGAGGTGCAGTTTTTGTTTTCACGAAGACGCTGTGCTCGCTTTTTCGTGTCTCAAATGCCTCTTGCAAGCACGCGTTGTTCGCGCCCACGCTGTTCTGGCGTAAAAAGCCGCCGGAGGCCGCTGTCGAGCGACTGTCTGTCCAACTGAATGACTGAACGATTGATTGGGTGGCCGGCCAATCGGCTGACCCAACCACCCTCCTTCTCCTTCTTCCCTAAACCCAAGCGACTATTTACAAAAGCCCTCCAGAAAAAGAAAAGCCCTCGTCCGATTTTGAATGCGTTTTCAGATTTCACTGCATTCTCGCCCCGTTACGAACTCATTTGCTTTATTTTTTGGATTCTTTTGGAGTTTTTTTCAACTCTTTGGAGTTTTTTCTTTGGACTCAATTGCTTTATTTTTTGGATTTTTTGGATTCTTTGGAGTTTATTTTTTGGATTTTTTGGAGTTTTTTTGTCGTACCTGATTTCTGGAACCGCTCCTCCCCGGTATGCGGCGGCCAGCTCCTCCTCCTCCGGGCTTCCGCTACGCCGACGTAACACGTCGAGCTAACCGGACAATATTAGCTCGGGTTGCGGCGGGAAAGCCCTCCACATGGAGGTGAGCCTTCAGCCCAGCCGGCGAGCGCAAAGAGGAGCGGCGTCACACCTCCCCGTAGCGTTCGCTTGATAAAACGAAATGCAGCCATACGTACCTCCGGCCACGTAAATCACGGTCTCCAGAAACGTCTGCGGGGCAATGTTTTTTAGAATGAGCTTGGGTTAAAAATAGACCGCTCAATAGACCAGCTAAGACGAGGTCTAAAGTTCAGCACAGAACGCTTCAGTTGTGCGCCTCGCCTAAACATTGCTTAATACACACAGGATGTACAGCAATAAGCAAATATCTTCACAAATGAAAAATAATGAAAGGATTAAAATATTACAACAAAATTATTACTTTATACATAAATATAAACAGCACTGCCTTCATGCCTTCTTAATCTCGGGGGGCTTTTTCAGTTTATTCATGACAGTTTGCTTTTGTATAATGTTATTATTATTAGCAGTATTATTTATTATATGCATACTTATGTTTTTTTTATTAAAAACAAGCTTAGATTTGTCCACCTGTGAGGTTTTAGACCATGTGGGGCACAGCATGTGTATTTGGATATAACTCAGTATTTTGAGCACACTTCGTTATTATTGTTCATTTGTTCGTTTGCTGGAAATTAAAAAATGAAGTTAGAAATAGTTTTAAAACAAATCTTTGTACTTAACAAACTAAATGTAAAGTCCAATGATGTCTGTGCGAACACGTTTTCCTAACCACGAGAGTGAAAGTGAAACTAAATAATGAGGAGGCTCATCTCTCATTCTCGCGCTACAGATGCTCTGTTCAACTGTTTTCTTGAAGCGCTCAGTTTTAAAGGGAAACTCTTTAAATGGAATGGGAGATGAGACTCTGATTGCTTTATTCTCAAAACACACCTAAAACTCATTAAGAGAATAAGCTCAACCCTGTTAGACCATGCGCCACCGTGCAAAGTCGATTTTTCCATCCTTAAAATAGCAAAAGTGGATTCGGACATGCCCTTAACCCTTTTTCGCCCTGCACTTTGGACGCCCTGCACTTTGGACGCCAATATCATAAAAAAACAAAAACATAAATGTTATTTGTTTAGTTATCTCATTTTAAATGCAAGGACATTGTTTGTTACGACAACTTCACATAAGCAAATACATCACATCCTGTTTGTGTATTTGTCATCAAATATTGACATTAACAAGACAACATGATGACTTGTCTGTCATAAACATGATTGCCATGAAGCATTATAATTGTGTCATGAATATATTTCTAAACACGTTTTCAGTTGAACGAGTTGTATTTGTCTTTAAAATGTTTCATTAAAAGTGTCATTACTCTGTCAAATCATTTTTAAGAGCCTCAATAATATTTACTGAAATTTAATGACAAGTTCAGCTTGTTCTTTTGGAGTTGAGGCAAAAAAAAAATAAATAAATAAATAAATAAATAAATTTATACATACATACTGTTGAGGTTAGAATTATTAGTCCCCCTGAATTATTAGCTCTTCTGTTTATTTTTTTTCTTTAATTTCTGTTTCACGGAGAGCAGATTCTTTCAAACACATTTCTAATCATAATAGTTTTAATAACTAATTTCTAATAACTGATTAATTTTATCTTTGTCATGATGACAGTAAATAACATTTTATTAGATATTCTTCAAGACACTTCTATACAGCTTAAAGTGACATTTAAAGGCTTAACTAGGTTAATTAGGTTAACTAGGCTGGTTAGGGTAATTAGGCAAGTTATTGTACAACGATGGTTTGTTCTGTAGATTATCGAAAACAAATATAGCTTAATAGGGCTAATAATTTTGACCTTATGATGTATTTAAAAAAAAATTAAAAACTGATTTTATTCTAGCTTAAATAAAACAAATAAGACATTTTCTAGAAAAAAAAAACAAAAACATTTTCATACAGTGAAAATTTTCTTGCTCATTTAAACATCATTTGGGAAATATTTAAAAAATAAATAAATAAATAGATAAAGGGGGTTTAATAGTTTTGTATTAATAATTCTGTCTCTTACCTTTGATGTTGCCTGAATTCAGAAGAAAGATTAAAAAAGCCATGACTAACATCTTTATTCCGCTCTTCATTTTTGTCTTCTTTGAGAAGTTGCTGTATATGAGCGGAGTGTAAGAAGAAAGTGTTGGGCAAAGTCTCGTTCTGCACTCCTCATGACTCCAACCCTTCAACCATAAACAAAGGACACTTTCCCCGAAGCTAACAAGTAGTATCTTGCCCACTGATGAACACACTGCGGGTTTTGTTCAACCCCGTTTCCTCATTGCATTTCACATTGCATTCAGTTTTAATGCAAATCAATACAAAATAAAAAAATAAAATTAATAAAATGTACTTTTTAATGAGTTTTTGTTTTGATTTTTTGTTTTTGTTTTGTTTTACTTTTTAATAAGTTTTTGTTTATATTCCAAATATCTAAACATTATTTATTTATTTATTACCCCCTTATTTGTTACCCCCTAATTACCCAAACATTATGGTTTGTTCCTTCACAGCAAAAAAAAAGTAAATATATTAAGTTGAGATAGTATTTGGTCTCTCTCTAAAACGCATTATTGCTACTCAAGTTAATGAGACAATGAAAGGATTAATAAGGTGATGATTGTGGACTGATGAAGAACACTCTGTTATTAAGTAGAAACACAGAAGAGAAACACAAAACTACTGACTTCAGTCACAGCCTTAGAGGAAATCAGCTGAAATATTATACATACAATCTCTCAAAATCTCAGTAAAGGATACTTGACCAATAAGTAACTCCACAAACAGCAGCTTTACTTATTACTAGCCTGTTTGCCTTATAAAGAGGGACCAAATACTTTCTGAGCTGAGTAAATTTTACTTCGTGGATTTTGCTGTGTAGAAAAGTACATCATAAATTAAATATACTTGCACAGTAATTTTCATGTTGAATATCTGGTTGTTACCCCCTTATTACCCAAGCCTTACCGTTTATTCCCTTGTACCTACACATACATTCTTTATACTTATACTATACGTACAGATACTGTTATTTCAGTGTACTTACATGGTACTTTGCTGGTCGTAAAAGAAAGCATTACCATTTATTTTTATTGAAGGAAAAGAAAATGTACACACAATACAACAGTAAACATTACAGTTTGCTTCCTTTTGTTTTGTTTGATTTTAACTCTAGCTCCACCCCCAAGACCTGAACATCCCAAGATAGCTTAACATAATAATTAGATTCAAATACAATAGTTACATTGTCTGGTGTCCTACACTTTATAAAATAAAAGTGACAATTTAAAAAAAAAAAAAAAAAAAAAGATATATATATATATATATTAGGGGTGTCAAAATTAATTGTTTCTTCGGTGCACCGCGATGCAGACGCGGACAATTCGGTATCGGTTTAGTAATAATCATAACCGGTTATTATATACTGACATCATTTATCTCCTATGCTCTCTGTCGCGAGGGAGGTGAGCGCGAGTATTTACAACACTCAGCCAACTCAGGGCCGGTTAGTGGCATAGGCACCATAGGCAAATGCTAAGGGTGCTGTATATCCAGGAGGGCGCCAGAAATGAGCGCTGTTAAGTTTTGTTTTCGATATTCTTGACACACATTCAGTTATAGACGGCAATAACTCAAAAACCTCTCACCCTAAAAAGATCTAAAGTATGTTTCCTACGAAAAGACAAAGCTGGTTATGTTTCACAGCTGTCTTTCTTTTTTTTTCGCTCCACACTACGAGCACTGCTCCGTTTAAGCCCTCGCAATATGTGTTTAGCCGGGAGAGCTCGCGCTGAGAGGAGCTCTCAGCAAGGGACCGTCGGAAAAGTGCTTATTTTTTTAGTTTTTCTGCTCCGCTCTTTGCAAGCTCTTCCTGTTGCGAGGGCTTAAGTGTGTGTGTGCGTGTGTGTGTGTGTGTGTGTGTGTGTGTGTGTGTGTGTGTGTGCGTGTGTGTGTGTTTGTTTCTTTGGTGCTGTCTATGTTTGTGTTTGAATGAGAGACAGTGTGTTGCTGTGTCTCTGTGTGTTTACAGACAGCTTGTTATAGCCTCTCCTCTAAAATATAACACTATATATGGAAAGCATCGTCAATGCACCGTGATGCACCGAAATATCGAATTGAACCGAATCGAAGGCATGATAATCGTAACCGAACCGAACCGTGAGACCAGTATAGGTTCACACCTCTAATATATATATATATATATATATATATATATATATATATATATATACATATATATATATATATATATATATATATATATATATATATATATATA